TTTTTTTTTTTTTTGGTGTATTGTAGATGGATGATTGTTGGTTTGTTGGATGCTGCACTTGATGGTAGTTTCATGGATATCAGTGACATTGACATTGTAAGGCTCTGCTTGAGGCATTATTCGCTTGATTGAATCTGAAAACCAAAGTTTAAGCAGTACTCCAATAAACTGAAAGTAGGTAATCATAATCTAATAGGATCACTAAGATCACTTTTTTTTTTTTTTTTTTAACTGTCAAGTATTGGCAGTTTTGTTGCATAGACTCTAGCACTCAAAGGAGTGCAAGGCATCCCAATCAGGGGGTGCAGGACATCCAATCAGGGGGTGTCGGATATCTTGGTTGCGCAAGTTCAAGCATAGTAGGTATAGACATCCGAGACAGAAGTGTGGAAGAGATCTGTAGGAGATAGGAGCAGCGGTTCTCTCCAAATCAGAGAGTGGTGTGAGTTGAGTTGAGGATGTAGGATTCCCTCCTCCTCTTGTATCTCTGGTGTATTATCTCTAGCTTCAGGGGGTGCAAGCATCTCAGTGAGGAGATGCAGACTATGCTGAAGACATCCGAGATAGGAAGCGTGGAAGAGATCTGTAGGAGATAGGAGCAGCGGTTCTCTCCAAATCAGAGAGTGGTGTGAGTTGAGTTGAGGATGTAGGATTCCCTCCTCCTCTTGTATCTCTGGTGTATTATCTCTAGCTTTCAAGGGATGCAGCGTCTCAGTGAGGAGATGCAAACTATGTTGAATTTGGGCGTGACAAGATTAGCAGCAATGTGTGTTGTGGATCACCTCACATGGGTTGAGGGGGTGATTTGTGGAATATCATCACCCCATGTGAGGGGTGATCCTCCATGTGCTACATGAGCTGGCCATGTTAGGAAGCCAACCTTTAGCCATGTAAAGAAGGAGTTGGCACAAGCTGGCCATGTGCTAGCCAGCCCCTCCATCCACCATTCTGAAGTGTATAAATGAAGATGGGTGAGAGGAGAACAGAGTGAGTGTAGAGCAAGTCACAGAGAGTGAGATATGTGAGGCGGAGAGACCGTCTCCCTCGGTGTGAGCGAGGGAGACGGGTGAGTGGGTGAGTGAGAAGAGTGTGAGCTCCTTCTCTATTGTAATCTTTCTGTAATATCTCCATTGTTATAGTGATAACCGGCTACTCTCCCGTAGACGTAGGCATTGAGGCCGAACCACGTTAAATATTGTGTCTCCTTAAGTGTGGGTGTGTTTTTCTACATGGAATAATTTCTATAAGCTCTTGGGCGGGATCCCAGATCCCAACATGATTAAGCATGTAAAATAATTGATTGAATTTTCAGTAAATTACACACTATAAATTTTTCTATCTGCAAATTTTGATGGAGAGAGAGAGAGAGAGAGAGAGGAACATTGGAAACCTGTATCTCTACTCAGCTGCTCCCCAAAGGCAATAACAGGAAGAGCAGAAGCAAAGAAGATATATGCAGTTGGAGCCAACATCCTATCACAAAAGAAAAGAAAAGATTAATTAAATTAAAATTTACTCCAAATTGCAGTGAAATAAATTCAATTGTCCAATTCTGAATCTATTGTTTTCAACCCGAAAATTAAAATACCCGAACCCAGAACGAATGCCACCAATCCAGTCTTGCTTATAGCAAGATAATCTTCCTCTAACATCTTCCGCAACACCCTTTAATGGAGATCTAATGTTCTCCATTACTAGTACAAAAACATGGAAACACACACACAATGTTAGGTACTGCATCAAAGAATATATAATATGTCATAAATCACAATCAATACAACCTTGAATGATTAAAATATCATATTACAAGACCCTTAAAATCCAAGTTTTGAAAATGTTTATCTTAATGCTCTCCATTACTAATACAAAAAAAATAAAACAAAATAATTATAGCATGAACGATTAAAATATCATATTATAAAACCCTTAGAATCCTAGTTTTGAATGTTTATGAGATCAGAAAGCTATATTATCAAAAAAGAAACAAAAAGAATGACAATGACTCATCAAACAAAAACACTTCATTAACCAGATTAATACAAGAACAATGTGTGACTGCTGTAAAATAAATAACTAAATAAATAAACCCAGTTGGATTATTGGGTGTTGTGTTTGACTGAAAGACAAGAACAAAAACCTGAGATTGTCGGAAAATTCAGGAACTTCGCCGGAAAGTTGGCCGGAAATCCCAACTGATTTTGTAGTGTCAGAAAACTCGTTTTCACACAGTAGGAATGAGAAGCAGAGGAAGAAGTAGAGCACGGAGTCTTTAAAAAGACCCGTGCCGCGCGGGTCTAGGTGGACTCCACTAGTAGGGTATGATTCTGTGTATGTCAGCAATATCACGAGACTCTCCACTGGTTGATTTGAAAGCTGTTCCAATCTGTCACCCACATAGAGAAAGGCTAATAGTGGAGCTATGAACCAATTCGTATAGTATATCAACATATATTATAATAAAATTATAATTTATTAATACATTAATTAATGTATATAATATTACTCCGACAAATTATTATAATATAGCATTATTCCTATACTTAGAGATAATTAGGAAATGAAAATTAATTCAATTTTATCCCAATAAATTTATATGGATTTGAAATGTGTGACATGGATTTAAATTTTGCATATTTGTTTCTTTTTATTATGAATAATAGTATATATGCTAATTAGTGTATCAATAGATGATATGACATAATTTAAGAGATTTTTGCTATTTATAATTTATATAATAAGTGAAGTCAATAATAATATCATAACTAATATTAATACATTAATTAATATATTAATTAATGCACACAACTATTTTATTATTATTATTTTTTTTTTTTTTTGGGTAATGAAGGTTGGAATTGAAAGTAAGAAACAAATAATGATGAATGACCGGTGAGGGGAATCTTTTTTTTCTTTCTTCGTTTTTTCAACAATGATCAGGTGACTTTTGGCGAACAAAATTTGTGCTCATTTTGTTTTCCTTTATTTTGGTGGAAATTTTTTTTTAATATTTGATACAATAAAAAATAAAAATTAATGAAAAATATTTTTTATGATCAATAAAAAATAAGTTTATATGAGTAAAAAATGTTTTTCTCTTTTAAAAGATAAAAAATATTTTTTAAATTAAAATCTTACTAATATCACTACGTTATTACTTTTATTCTCACCTCCACCACCATACTATTCTCACAATTATTAGCACTATAACTATTATCGTTACCCCTGCAACTATTCACAGCACCTTCACCTCTACCTTCATCTCACTACTACCACTTTTCCCCTAAACAAACGAAACAGCAGAGTTAATGTAACAACCCTCATACTGTTTACTGATTAGGGACTGATTGATTACCGATAATCACCGATTACTGTTAAACGAAACGGATAATGACTGATAACTGACTGATAATTGAACTGAGTAAAGTACTGAACTGACTGATTGAAATTGAAAAAAATGCAAGATCATTTATGTCAACCATTTTAGTGTGTAAATGGCATTATTAAAGAAGGGTTATGCCCAAAATAGCCACAAGATCATCGTTAAGATTCGATTAATAAGGAAATGCTAACCACTACCTAATAATCCATGAAATTATGTATTATATGTAATAATATATAAAATATGTATTAAAAGTGTAATTTTTTAAACATTATTTAATTATCTACGAACACCCAATTAATAATTTTTTTGAGTGTGGTAATCCTTTTTTTTTTTTTTTGGGTAATGAAGGTTGGAATTGAAAGTAAGAAACAAATAATGATGAATGACCGGTGAGGGGAATCTTTTTTTTCTTTCTTATTTTTTTCAACAATGATCGGGTGACTTTTGGCGAACAAAATTTGTGCTCATTTTGTTTTCCTTTATTTTGGTGGAAATTTTTTTTTTAATATTTGATACAATAAAAAATAAAAATTAATGAAAAATATTTTTTATGATCAATAGAAAATAAGTTTATATGAGTAAAAAATATTTTTCTCTTTTAAAAGATAAAAAATATTTTTTAAATTAAAATCTTATTAATATCACTGCGTTATTACTTTCATTCTCACCTCCACCACCATACTATTGTCACAATTATTAGCACTATAACTATTATCGTTACCCCTGCAACTATTCACAGCACCTTCACCTCTACCTTCATTTCACTACTATCACTTTTCCCCTAAACAAACGAAACAGCAGAGTTAATTACTACAATATTGAAAAAATATTAACACATCATAATATTTTAAAATCATCAAATTACTTTCGAAAAGCAGCAAGGAGGAATTTTCTTCGTAGGCGCTAAAATACCCAATTATGTTAACTGGCAATGATGAATTTTTTTGTTTTTTTAGGAGAAATTATTGTTTGATCTTGGGCATCATCACGTGATGTTCCAAGAATATTATAATTGGTAAAGAAATTAAGATTTATAAATTTATATTGAGTGATAGAAAAATATAAAAAGATATAATAAATTATGATTTGTGAGTGACATGATCCTTCTTGAATTAATCAATATTTTTGGTTTTTCAGGAGAGGTTATTGGATAGTGTAGGAGTATTATTCCACAACACTAGACACTTGACACTTAGCCTGTGTTTGGCAAGTAAGTTTGGAGGTTTTTTTGGCTATTTTAGCCACAAAAAACAAAATAGGTTATTTTAGCCATAACAAACAAAATATCACATCCAACCCATAATCATTACATTCTTCTCTCACAAAAAAACTCAAAAAAGCCAAAAAAGCCCTTCCCAAACCAAGCTTTTAAGCCCAGGCTAAAATAGCCAAAAAAGCCAAAAAGCCAAAAAGTCAACCCACTTCCCAAACCAACACTTATTAAGTTATCTCCTACTAACATAATAAAAAAATATTAAGTTTCATAATTTTAACCAATCATATTAAGTTAGAACACTATATCACAATGCCACAAGACCACTACATAATTTTTCCTTTACTGCGTTATTACTTTCATTCTCACCTCCACCACCATACTATTGTCACAATTATTAGCACTATAACTATTATCGTTACCCCTGCAACTATTCACAGCACCTTCACCTCTACCTTCATTTCACTACTATCACTTTTCCCCTAAACAAACGAAACAGCAGAGTTTATGATATATTTAATTTTAAATTTTAAATTTTGTTTTAAATAAGGATAATTAAAGATATTATTTCTCAATTTTAAGGATAAAGTCGTTAATTTGATAAAATATAAACTAATTTGACAAAAATAAATGTCAAAAAAATATTTTTGAATTTTTTAAAATTATTTATAGCGGCCAAAAATAAAATTATGTAAAATTGATATAACTTTTACATATTTATTTATTTACTTATTTTATCAAATTAATTTTTATTATGTATTTTGATGATAATCATATAATGAGTGGTTACTAGGCTTTTAATACGTAATCGATATATTTAATATATGAAATATTTTTAGTACTAGATTTTTTAATTTAATGGATTAGTTTAATAATGATATCAAAGTTGTAGTCATATTTGACTTTTGAAAAAATAGAAACTAATATAATGAAAATAAAAACAACCACTCATTACATGATTATCATCAAACACATAATAAAAATTAATTTGATAAAAAAATAAATAAATAAATGTGTAAAAGATTTATCAATTTTACATAATTTTATATTTGATGGATAGAAATAATTTTTAAAAATTAACAAAAAAATTGACATTTATTTTTGTCAAATTAGTTTAAATTTTATGAAATTGACAATTTTGTCCTTAAAATTAAGCAATGATATATTCAGTTGTCCTTATTTAAAACCAGATTTAAAATTTATAATTAAATATATTATAATTAAAAAAATCAAAAATTAAAATGATACGAATTTCAAATTATAAGAACCATCAGTAATAATATGAATTAGGAAGGAAAATGTTTGGGACCCTTTTTGGGGATGACCCTCACACTCCCAAAATGATTCTGACCCTTCATGTACGTGTGAAATCCACATTATGAGTGGTTCAGATTTGTAGGGGTCTTGTGAGGGTGGGGTCTCAATCATTACTCGAATTATGAATATCAAATAGGAAGCAGCTTGTCTCCCTTCCTTAATCGGATTAGACAGTACTGTTTGGCCTATGAGGGCCCACCATGGGTCCCATTTTGATAATTCAAACCGTTCAATATGTAGAACTCGTTAAATACTATATATTTGTAAAAAATCACGTTAATCAGATATCGATAGCTATCTCATCTTATCAATTTTTTGTCAACCGTTAATTTGTTCGCCGTCTTATTTTTTTTATACAAAACTAATTTGATCACATAACTATCGATATCTGATCAACGTGAATTTTTATAGAAATATAATAATCAACGAATTCTACATGGGTTGGTTTGGTAAGTGGATTGATTTTTTGGCTTTTTTAGCTATTTTAACTTAGGCTAAAAAACTTGATTTGGGAAAGACTTTTTAACTTTTTGATTTTTTTAATTTTTTTTGTGAAAGAAGAGTATAATAATTATGAGTTGGATGTAATATTTTGTTTGTTGTGACTAAAATAGTATATTTTATCTTTTGTAATTATTTTAACCATAAATTATTTTTTTTTAAACGAGTCTTATATTAATAATTTAAATTATCAAAATAAGACTTGTGATAAGTTGCCGCGAGTCAAAGAACACCGTTCAATAAGGCCGGAAGCAAGCTATTACCTGTGAAATATTATGCAAAACAACAATGATAGAGACCACTAATTTTGGAGTTCTAAAAAGATCACTAATGACATGGCACTTAATAAAAAAAGAAAAAAAATACAACACCAAGGCCAAAATATCAAATCATTTATGGTGGGACCTACTGCCACATCATTAGTGATAACACTAATTAGTGCTCTCACTCATTTTTCTTATGCAAAATGTGTTTGCATGATTGGAGCAAAACTGGCGTTTCGGGCTGACCAATTTCTTGTCTTTCTGACTCATGTCCTTTTACCAAAACTTTGATGATTAAAAAAAAAAAATTTAATATACATCTCTTTAAATAAAAATATATATCATGGGATAATTTAAGAAGTTGATAAAAAATTAATTTTTTTTGACTTTTTACACCAATTTCTTTAAAAAAAAAAGTCACAAAAAAGTTATTAAAAAAGTCAATTTTTTTGGTTAAAAAAATTACAAAAAAATCAAAAAATTAATTTTTTATCAACTTTCCAAAATACTCCCATATATATTTTTAAAAGTTATGTTTGTCTATTTTGGTATCTGAATTAAAAGTTAATTTTTTATTTTATTTTGACTCTTTTAACCATGTCGTCTCTTTATTTTA